ATGACACAGTCAAACTGCTGGAGAACAAAAACAAAAAGGAAATCTTAAAAGCAGCCAGAGAAAAGAAACCATAACTTTCAAAGAAATAAAACTGATAGCCACATTTTCAAAAAAATCAAAGTCATAAACAATAGAGGAATATTATTAAAGTGATCAAAGGAAACATATTTTCAACATGGAATACTCTACCCAGCAAAAATACCTTCTAAAACAAAGTACAATGACATTTTCACAAAAATAAAAACTAAGCCGGATGCAGTGGCTCACACCTGTAATCCCAGCACTTTGGGAGGCCAAGGCAGATGGATCACCTGAGGTCAATAGTTTGAGATCAGCCTGGCCAATATGGCGAAACCCCATCTCTACTAAAAATACAAAAATTAGCTGGGTGTGATGGTGTGCATCTGTAATCCCAGCTACTCAGGAGGCTTGAGGCAGGAGAATCACTTGAACTTGGGAGGTGAAGGTTGCAGTGAGCCAAGATCATGCCATTGCACCCCAGCCTGGGCAACAACAGCGAAACTCCATCTCAAAAAATACATACATACATACATACATAATTCTAAATCTGTAGGTAACAAATAACATAGCTTCAACCCATATAAAGCACAAGTCAACAGACTAAAAGTAGGTAAATTCACAATCATATCAGACTTTTTAATACCTCTCTGGATAGTTATTGAATAAGCAAACCAAAAAAGAAAAACCTCACTTAAAAACCTAATCAATATGAATAATAAACCAGACTAGATAGACAGATCACTGCACTCAACATGAGTTATTTTCAGGTAAACATAAAACATTCACCAAAATATTCCCATTTAGCATCAATGGCAAGACCCTTATTTTACAAAAGAGAAAACCAAGGTAGGGCCGAAGGTCACACTGGAAGCAGAGCTGTAATTAAAGGCCAGCTATTATGATAACCCAAGGTTCAGTTCTGACCCCGTATCTAATATATGACCCTTCCTTTCACACCACTCTTTAATAAAATCGAATATCCCCAGGTCATCCTGCCCATAGCATCACAGTCGGAATGTCCCATAGGTGTAAGCACGCTCTACGATGTTCACACAACGATGAAACTGCCTAATGACACACTTCTCAGACTGAATCCTTGTTGTTAAGAGACACATGAGGGCCAGGTACGGCAGCTCATGCCTGTAATCCCAGCACTTCAGAAGGCTGAGACAGGTGGATCACTTGAGGCCAGGACTGTAGGCCCCCATTTTAGCATCAAAATGAGCCCCTAGAATTGGAAAGCCCTTAACTTCCACTTCTATTCAGCTGAATACCTACTGCTAACCTCGCTAAGATGAGTCCCTGCAGCAGCCCTACCTCCCTGAGACCTGGAGCAATCCCTTTACTTCATAACCCCAGTGTAAAAACTTCCTACAGTTTGTCGGTCTGCACCTTAAAAACACCTTTCCAGCCGGGCATGGTTGCACACGCCTATAATCCCAGCACTTTGGGAGGCCAAGGCAGGCAGATCACCTAAGGTAGGGAGTTCGAGACCAGCCTGACCAACATGGAGAAACCTCATCTCTACTAAAAATACAGGCATGGTGGCACGTGCCTGTAATCCCAGCTACTTGGGAGGCTGAGACAGAATTACAAACCAGAGGTTGTGGTGAGTCGAGACTGCGCCATTGCACTCCAGCCTGGGCAACAAGAGCAAAACATCATCCCCCCCCCCCCCAAAAAAAAAAAAGAAAGAAAGAAAAGAAAAAGAAATACACCACCTTTCCTCCACGAAGGGAAGACAGGCTGGAAGTATTTTCTAGGAGAACAAAGTAGAGCAGTGCTGCTGCAAACCGTTTGGACAATGATCCATGGGAAGCTATACCTTTCTTTTTTTTTTTTTTTTTTTTTTTTTTTTTTTCTGGAGACGGAGTTTCGCTCTTGTTACCCAGGCTGGAGTGCAATGGCGCGATCTCGGCTCACCACAACCTCCGTCTCCTGGGTTCAAGCAATTCTCCTGCCTCAGCCTCCTGAGTAGCTGGGACTACAGGCACGCGCCACCATGCCCAGCTAATTTTTTGTATTTTTAGTAGAGACGGGGTTTCACCATGTTGACCAGGATGGTCTCGATCTCTTGACCTCGTGATCCACCCGCCTCGGCCTCCCAAAGTGCTGGGATTACAGGCTTGAGCCACCGCGCCCGGCGGAAGCTATACCTTTCACACTGCAGTGAAGAACACACGTAAATAGTATGTTTATGTCTCTGAAACGAAAATATCTTGCCATGTATATAGTTCTTTTGTCGGATGTATGAAATTCATTCTGATCTATTCCATTCTGTTTAACTTGTTTTTGTTTGGTTTTGTTTGAGACAGAGTCTCACTCTGTTGCCCCTGCTGGAGTGTAGTAACGTGATCTTAGCTCACGGCAACCTCCGCCTCCTGGATTCAAGCAATTCTCATGCCTCAGCCTCCTGAGTAGCTGGGATTACAGGCACACACCACCACACTTGGCTAATTTTTATATATTTTTTAGTAGGAATGGGGTTTCACCATATTGGCCAGGCTGGTCTCAAACTCCTGAACTCAGGTGATCCTCCCACCTTAGGCTCTCAAAGTGCTGAGATTACAGTTAACTTGTTTTTTATATGCTGATTCTGACACATTAAATTGATTTCACACTTATCAAAGGGTCATAACCTACAGTTTGAAAGCCTCTAGGTGAGGCAGAAGGCCTGAAATTCCCCACTAGGGCCAGAACGGCACGTTCTTTCCTGACCTGGCTTCTGTTTGCTCCCATCCTGCCACCTCCAAGCCTGAAACATCACCTGCCAATTGCTTGGGCAACAACATGAGCATCTCTGAATCATAGCTGTGGGCAATTCTCCAGCACGCAGACACCCACAGAAGGCTCCATCTATCAGGCAGGTATCAGCAAAGGCTCGAGAGGCTTCTGACGCTACAAAGCACCCAAGACCCGGGCTTCAGCGCCGCTAACCCGGGCTCCTCTGGCTGCCCATAATCCCCCATCCTCTGAGAAGAGCCCTCCACTTTTTTTGCCTACACATCTTTCTATATACAATCCCTTCACGTCAGTCTCTGTCCTCCTTAATCCATCACCCAAAAGGGTCTGACTTCTGCCTGCTTTGCCAGGACTTCACGGTGCCCCACCAGATTCTAATTCACCATCAAGACTTTCATTCTGACCACTTTTCCCAAACAGCCTGCATTACCTCCACCACTTCTCCCCACCCCACAAAGACTCCCACGCGAGGATTGCACCAATCCTGAAATATGTCAAACTCAGCCTTCCAGGGGCAGGCTCACCAAGAGTCTAGAGTGAAGGGAAGAGGGAGAGGACAGAGAAAAGCTACCAATGTGAAAACAGGTTAGTTCCTGCCCTCAAAATCATGGGAGAGAAGACAGCCTCGATTCAATACTTAAATACTACATGTTATCCAATGACAAGCCAGTGTGCAAAGCAGGTAACATGCCATGTCTTCCAGGGGATAAGGACCATTAGAGGCCACCAGGACAGTGATTCTGAAACTCATTCTGACAGCAGAACCCAAGAAGGTATGATATTCTATGAGGAACTGCTTGAAATGCTACTCCAGGAATGGGAAATAAACAATACTCTTGTGCTATCACATAGATGACACTTCATACTAATTATGAAGTGTCTACTTATTATCACACAGATGACTGATTATCATCACATAGATGGCACTTCATCCATGGCTAAGTAGCAGTGGATGCCAAATGTTAAGGTAATGATTATGAAAGAAAACATTAAAGTTGAGAAAATTCTATCCAGTTAACCAAGTCTGCTAGGCACCTTGGAAAGGGGGCCAGACATCATTCATGGTCAGAACCCACACATCACCCAGCTTCCAGAATACCAGGCTCTCGGGGAGCCCAGTACGTGAGCCTCTACCCAGAACCAGTCTTGAACAACTAGGATGGGGTTTCCAGAAGAAAAGAGGCAGCAGCGGAGAACAGCACGTGTGATGGATGCTGTATGGGAGGAGAAACAAAGCAGCCCAAGCGACAGGCTGACCCACGGGAGTGTGTCTCCACGACCAACCCAGCACCAGCACGGTCATGGACCACTCAGACCTCTGCGGCTACAGCCCTGCCACTAACCACTCACCAAGGTCAGGGTCAGAATCAAGCTGCCAAAACTGTGGCTTGCGTTAATTATACCACCTGGAGAACCTACTGCAGATAGCTGAGCTTTAAAGAAATGCAATCCCAGTAACTAATTTAGAGTGTACCATGGCAAAGGACATGGCACTTTAACAGGAACATCTTGGCCAGCGAATTAGCAGCAGATGTGACAAACATGGTATCATCAAAGCAGACACAACTGCTATAAACCCTCAGTAGAAAATCACCCTTCAACTCGTATAAAAAGACTGCACGTGCACTGGGCACAATGACTACTCAACCCCCCAAAGAAAAGCACACACAGAGCTCCCAACGCTAAAGTACACAAAACGGCTTTAACCAGCAGCGGCTGGAGACCACGGCATCTCGTCAGTCCACTCGTGAGCCACAGAACTGTGGGGACCCAGCAAATGGGCTCCCTAAATGTCTGGTCCCAAGGGAAAGAAAGCCCTGCTGAGTTGCTGAGCGGCCCCAGGGAAGAGCTTGTCCTCACTGCCCAGCCTCCTTCCTGAGAGGCCTCCAAAGCAGCGGACTGGTGGTGTGCCTGAGGCAGGGGTGGCAAGGTGATGTGGCAGACACCGCCCCCAAGCAAGGCCTGACGAGCAGTCCAAGCTCAGCTCCCGGCACAGCGTCAATCATGGACCCACCCCTAGGGGAGAGCCACAAAGAGCTGGAATCCAGCAACTGGATCATCCTCCCATGGAAAACTCTAGCCCCACAACAGCTCACACAGGGCAGCCACTGCCACCCACTCCCACGGCGCCCTGCCTGGGATATCGCTAGGTCCCCGCCTCCATGCAGGCCTCAGTGTGGTTCCAACTCCACTTCGCAGGGCCTGGCAGGACAGGACAGGTGGGGCGGTCGCCTTACCTCCGAAGTTGGCCAGCCGCCCAATCCTTGTCACAGGCACCTTCCGCTCCCGAGCATGCTCACTAAGCTGGAGGGAGATGAGAAAGAGACCTGTGGAATCAGCCAAGGGGACAGGACCAACCTTCAGAGGTCCCCGCTGCCCCCACACCTCTCCAACCCACAGGCAGCAGTTCTGCCTGAAGGCACACTCCACCAAGAGGCGGCCTCCGTGCTCCTAAAACTCCAGACTACAGCACCCAGGAAAAGTCCCTAGAGGGACCCAAGGCCAGCACTGCCGTGGGTGGGAGCCACCTCGGCCTCTGGGGGCCTCCTAGACGCACCATCTGTTTGTGCTGCTTGTTCTCAGGGCGAGCCTTGGCCTGCCGGGCCTTCTCGATGTCCTCAGCTGTGAGGCCCCCCACAGGGGACTGGTCCTGGTGGAAGAACCTTCGCTGAAAGCCCGTGGCAGAGAATGAGCCTTTGGGGTTTGCAAAGAGCCTCCCGTTTACCCTGCCCAGAGGGTAGGCGGCCTGGCCAGGGAACCCAGCTTCCCTAAAGGGTCCACTGGCCACGTAGGCAGGAGCTGGGCCCTCGCTGTGGACATGATCCAGGGGCGGGGCTGAGTGGCTGGGAGTGGAGGCCGCAGAGAAGTCTGTGGAGGCTCCGGCTGCCTGCGGGACTGAGAAGTGGAACTCCCCTTCTGGGCCGTTGAAGTTCTCAGCAAAAGATTCTTCACGTTTATCCTGACCCTGCAGGGAGCAAAGGCCGGCATAAGGAGAGCAAGAGTGAGCAAGGAGCTCCCCTCTGCCTGTCCCCTGCTGCCTGTGACAGCACACCACCAGCATCCCGCCCCCTCCCCCTCCAGAGGTGACACAGTGCTGCACCCGCGGCCCCGCACCCTTCCCAGCCTGGGAGCCGAGCCCTGGGCTCTAGCCCTGCTTCTGTTGGGGCTCTGCTGTGTCATCCTAGGTGGGACACGGAGCACCTATGTGCCCAGCCGGGGCCAGGCCAGGTGCACACCACACCCGCAGCAGGTTCCTCACCTACAAAACAGGGCCAGGGAAGCCTCCAGGGCTTTGGAGAGGGTAAGTCAGGGCAAAAGCCCAGGAAAGCTCTGAGAGGTGAACACACAGCCTAAGGCTGACCAGGGGTGAGGGAAGCACGCCCATGGGCCCACCTAAGCCCACAGCTCTCTGCAGACACAGATGCCACCCGCCAGCCAGGGGCGTGCATGTAAGAGAGTCTCACTGGAGCGGTGGTCACAACCAGGACCAGGCCTAGCCGCCCCTCAGAGCTCAGGGTACAGGGAAATGGAGGGGGAGGGGAGACAATACACCACGTTTTCTTTGTGATGGTCACCAAGGCCTGAGCTTCAGCCCGTGTCCTGCTTCTGAACTAGCAGTGACCTTTAGTGAGCTCCTGAACCTTCTCTGCTACTTCCTCATCTGAAAATAGGGCTCCTCACAGCCACAGAGTTACCAGAAGCCACAGACAGAGCCAGGAAACAGCACCAGCTTCTGGAGGGAGACCAGTGGCCTGGACTCCCAGCATCAGCTGAAGCCAATGAAATGCACCAGCGGCTGCATGCTGCCTGCAGGCTATGCAGACAGCAGGAGACCCAAGCCCTCTCACTCTGCTGTCTTAAGACGTCATAGGATTCAAAGGAGGAGAGAGAGGCTGTTATGCTCACTTCAAATACAGAAAACTGAGGCAAAGATGGCTAATGTACTGGTGAAGGTTACCAGACAGCAAATGACAGAGCTGGGATCCAACACCCAGGCTGGCCCTGCTGGCTGCGGCACTTTTCTCAGAGTAAAAGAAGTTGTATTTAGGCCAGACACAGTCGCTCACACTTGTAATCCCAGCACTTTGGGAGGCTGAGGCAGGCAGATAACCTGAGGTCAGGAGTTCAAGACCAGCCTGGCCAACATGGCGAAAACCCCATCTCTACTAAAAATACAAAAATTAGCCGGGTGTGGTGGCGGACACCTGTAATTCCAGCTACCGGAGAGACTGAGGCAAGAGAACCACTTGAACCTGGGAGGCGGAGGTTGCAGTGAGCCGAGATTGCACTGCTGCACTCCGGCCTGGGTGATGGAACAAGACTCCATCTCAAAAAAAAAAAAAAAAAAAAAAAAAAACCACAGAAGATTCACAGAGCCCCTCCCAGATGGCCGGGGAAACCTTGCCAGTGAGGAAGCCCAGGCAGGGCCCTCTTTGTGCCCTTCTGCCTATCCCTCCCATGATGGCCCCAGCCCTGTGCTGTTAACACCTGTCGGTGTTGCCGTGGACGCCCAAGGGTAGTGGGGGTTTCCCAGGGCCCCAAGGGGACCTGGGCTCAGTAAGTGTCTGCTGAATGAATGAGAGAGCAACCTCAAGGGGCTGGAGGGGGACGGGTTCCTGGAGTCCATGACCTTCCTCCCCTCGGCAAGAAGGGAGGCACCAAAAAGCGAAGCACTGAGGGAGTGAATGGCAGCATGCTGTGGGCAGCCACCCGGCTCCGGTGCCTCCTGGGTGGCGTGGCTCGTCACTCACCCTACCTCCAAGTGGCTGAGGGGGAGGCCCTGCCCCTTCCAGATATGCTGTGGGAGCAGAGGGTTGGAGAGTGCCTGGGCAGGAGGCCCTGCTCCCCATTACGGCTAGGGCCTGCCCATATGTCTCACTTCTGGGCGGGCCCAAGTGAGCTGGGCAACCTCACTTTCTGAGTGTCCCACAGGCAAAACACCCAAGAAGGAGTCCAAGGCCCAGCATTCCAGCGAACCAGGCAGGGGGAGGGCAAGAGCACAGAGTCCAGGCTGGCAGGGGACAAGGAATCTGGTCCTGTCACTCATTGTCATAGGTCCTGAAGCAAATTGCTTCTTCTCAGTTTCCTCATCTGAGAAATGGGGATGATGGTCCAGGCTGGCCCCCTGTCCCAGGACAGTGGTGAGGCTTGGAGGATAGCGCAGGTCTGAGGACTCCCAAACATTAAACGCAGGCATGCTCAATGAGAGAGCCGCTGTATCGCCATGGGATCCTCCCAGTGTGGCAGGGAAGGCCCTGCAGGTCCTAAACCTGAGATTGAGACACCTGAGGGCTGTGACAGCCACACGGCCTGCAGGAGAGCAGGACATTTGTTCACAAGTCAGCCAACCACAGAACAGACATGGAAGGACAGAGGCTGTGACACAACCTCCAACACAGATGCCCAAGCACACACACAGGTGAGTGCACACCACAGGCACACAAACACCCTCCACCCCGTCCCTGTCTCCTGGACTGTCAGGGAAGTTGCTGGCGACTATGCAAGGTGACATCATGGTGGGGAGTGCTCTGCTGTAGCCAGCCTTGTTTACAGTCACCTCTCCAGCACACGATTTCACTGAAAATCGTTGGAGGTAAGACGTCGAGGCTTCTTAGACCTCCGCACAAAAGGTCATCTCCTCCCCCAGATGGCACAGGGATGAGAGAGAAGCTAGAGATGACACTGCTCTTGGCAGGACTGTGCCAGCTGCCACCCAAGAAAGGAGAGCCCCCAGTCAGGAACCCAGAGACCCTTAGCAAACTAAAGGAATGAGGCAGGGCTTTGGCAGAGCCTCAGCAGGCTCAGTGGGAAGTGCCTTCAAAGGCCGAGCCAGGCTGACAGACACACGGGCCCAGGGAAAAACTGCATGTGTGTGTCTCCAAACTGTATACATTGGAACCCAGCCCCTAGTGTGATGGTGTTGGGAGGTGGGCCCTTTGGGAAGTAATCAAGTCAGGAAGATGGGATTGGTGCCCTCAATGGGATTGATGCCCTCATAACAGAGGCCCTGGAGCGTAGCCCTGGCCTCCTCCCGCCCCACGAGGACACAGTGAGAAGATGGCCATCTACAGATTAGAAGATGGGCCCTCACCAGACACTGAATCTCCTGGCACCTTAATCTTGAACTTTCAAGCCTCTAAAACTGTGAGAAATAAATGTGTGTTGTTTAAGCCACCAGTCCATGGAATTCTGTTATAGTGGCCACTGTAACACAGGGGCCCTGTCCCACCCTGGAAGGACTGTGGGACACATCAGCTGGTGGGCCCTCAGGCTCTGGCCACCACAGACCAGTTGCCATGGTGACGGCCCTTGGTCTCCCCAGCAGCTCCAGGTCCCACCCTTTTCCCGCCAGCACCCCTCCTACTGCAGGGCCCCCTTACCTGCACTTTCTCCAAGAACATGCCAATCTGCTCCATAGCCGTAGACTGCAGGGCCCGGGCCGCCATGATCAGCTCCCCTCCGATGCCCAAGTGCTGCAGGTGGGTTTCCACAGCTGCCTGGGTCAGCTTGGCAAGGCCTTTGGCCACCATGATGGTGTCTCCCAGTATGGCAGCCATCCTTCAGAGCTGGAAGAGAGGAGGCCAAGTCAGGAGAGGCTCCGGACCCACACTACCAACTCCACACCAAACTCTGGGCAGAAGGTCCAGAAGGCTGGTTTTTCCACTGATCTCCCCGTCTGCTTAAAAAAAAAAAAAAAAAAAAAGAAGAAGAAGAAGAAAGAAAGGGCCCAGTGCTCAAGGGAGACTCCACTTGATTCCGACCACTCCAGGGGAATGGAGCAGAATAAAGGCCACTGAATTGGTGGCGTAGTGCCCTCGCTGCTTCCCACACATTTCTTCATCTGGGCCTCACAACCACCCTATGGAAAACCTGAGGCAGACAGGTGGCCCGTTTCACAACAGAACCAGGACTTGAGTCAGACGCACAGACTGCTAGTCTAGGGTTCTTCCCTCTCGACCAAAACTGCCTGTTGAGACAGGAGCGTCCAACTCCCAAAGAACTTCCCTGCAAGGTCCAGGGGCCACTCATGGCAGTGGTGCTCTGACACAAACCCTCAGGGGTGAGGCTGCCTGTCCCTGCCCAGCTGCTATTGCTCTGCCCAGTGAGGCCTGTGACAAGATACCCACAGACCAAAAGAAAACCAGAGCCCCTCCCTGGCCCCTCAGGGTCAGCCTACCCTCAGCTTCAACTATTCACCAAACCTGTGTTTTCAAACTGCAGTCCAGACCCACAGTGCAAGCAATTTGGAAGATCCTAACCACCATTCAAAAAAAATGAACAACTACCACCACCACCAAGCATCATCATGGCCACCACTGCCACCGCCACCACCACAATTACTACTGCCACCACCACCACCAAACACCACTACCACCACCAAGCACCAACACCACCAAGTACCACCACCACCAAGCACCACCACCACCACCAAGACCAATACCACCAAGTACCACCACCGCCACCAAGCATCACCAAGCACCACTACCACCACCAAGACCAATACCACAAAGTACTACCACCACCAAGTACCACCACCACCATGCACCAATACTACCAAGTACTACCACCACCGCCACCACCAAGCACCACCACCACCAAGTACCACCACTGTCACCACCAAGCACCACCACCACCAAGCACCAACACCACCAAGTACCACCACTACCACCAAGCACCAACACCACCAAGTACCACCACCACCACCACCAAGTACCATCAAGCACCACCACATGATACAGAATTGAAAAGGAACCGTCAAGGAACACTGTAGGTAGCTTTCTTAGTTCACATGTCCTGTTTTCAAAGTGGCAAACAAATAAGCCATCTTAAAAAGTACACACTGAACAGTACTTAGTTATGCCTTTCTTCCTGCCTAAACAGTTGCACCCTACATATTCAGTGAATTCCCAGCTGGTGCCAAGCCCCACCCTAGACAGTGGGCGCCAGAGCCAGGAAGCAGAGATGGTGAGCTCCCACTCCGCTAGAAGGAAGGGCCCAACGAGGGGAAATAACACCATAGACATACGGCCCTGCATACTGGGAGGCAAAACCTGTTCTTCTCAAATCAATAAACAGTCTGCTAATAAACGGATGTTGCTAATAAACAGTCTATCATTTGTGAGTAGATTAACATATTGGACACACTTCAAAACCACAGCCTGTACCCACCCGCCTTTGACAAATATCACTGAGCTACTACTGTGCAGGGCCACATCCACTTCCCTTACCATGCAGAGTGAGCCCTTCAGACCTCATCAACACAAGGTACTTTTTTAAGAGAGGAGTCTCACTATGTTGCCCAGGCTGGAGTGCCATGGCTGTTCACAGGCAAAATCATGGCACCGTATAGCCTCAAATTCCATGGCTGAAGTGATCCTCCCACCTCAGGCTCTCAAGTAGCTGGGATTACAGGCCCACACCACCATGCCCAGATTAACACCAGGTATTTTCCTGCAAGGGAGTCTCCACTCTCAAAGAAGTAGAAAGGAGAGGGAGGGAATAACTACCAGAAGGAAACACCTGTCCAGAACTTTTCTCACCTTCTTTTTTCAAAAATTACATCTTAAAACCCTACTTCTAATGCACCACAATCGCTACGTGCCTCATAATTCAACAATCCGACAATTTCACTGCAAATCCCCACCAGGGGTGCACCAAGAACCATGCACACAGCTACACCAGGACGTATTTTCAACATGATTTTAAAGAAATAAAAGCCTCTCAAACACATATAATACACAAGCGAAAAATCCTATCTGCACCATGACTTCATCTGCAAGTATCAGGCCCTCGCTAGGAATCCACCCACCCTACTTCTTCCTGCTGCTCCATGAACAAGCTTCTGAGATCTCGCCTGTGAGCAACTGAAATGGGGTGTTTGGGATCTGTGCCTCCTGACGGCCTCCGTGTACCTGCCTTCTCTCCACTGAGGAGAGGACAGCCAAGAGTGACCACAAATGATAAAGCAGTGGGGTGGGAGACAGGTACTCACATTTGGGACCGTCTAACATGAAAACAACAGAAAAAGTCATCTGGAGGTTCCCTCAACACAGGTTCACTAACCTGTCCCAGTGCTCTGGGCTAGTCCCTGCAGGCCCAGGTGAACCTGCCCTGGCCCGGGGCTCACAGCAGCATGTGACATGCCTGTACCTCTACAATGGGCACAGACACCAGGGAGACGGCAGGAAGCCAACAGATGCTGACACAGCAGGATCAGAGGCACAGTGGAAGAGTCGGACCCAGAGCCAAGACACAGGCCCCCAGGCCCACCTTCACCACCTGCCTCCACCCAGCGTGCAGCTCGGCCTCTTCCGCCCCTCCTCAGTAGCTCTGCAGTGAAGGGCTCTGGGTGCCTCATCAAGCTCCTTTTCTGGTCCTAAGGTGCTAATCTGCTCTAAGGGGCTTTTGTGAGATTGACGGTCTTTTTTATTTATTTGGGTGGCATGACGGCTACTGGGGAGTATCCTGAAACATGAGGGTCAAGTATTGACATCGGAGGGGCTTTATTATTAGGACTATTAACGGAGTTGATGCTGCTTCAGTGAATAGCTGAGCACGACGGAGTGGGGATCACGAATGAAGTAAGTAAAGATGGTGTCTAGAGAGAAAGAGAACTGCGGTAAATGCAGCTTCCCAAACACAGGGACAGGGGTTGAGAAAGATGCGCAAGGCTGCATTCCCCACCACGGGAAGGCATTTTGCAACCAAGCTTTCACTCTCTGACCTTCCAGCTATACCATCTCAACTCATGCTGGAGACGACGCTCTGACTCAGGCATCCTGACCTGCACACAAGCTGGAAATTATCTGGGTCATGGGGACCTCCAAATCTAGTCTCCAAAACTGAAAGACACCCTCAAGGGCTGTCTACCCAGTCAGATACAGATGTAGCAACAGGAAAATGAGTTGTGTTCTTTTTAAATGAATTCAACAGGCAATTCTGACAGCCAGCCAGCAGATGAAAGCATCACACACTACCCACTCAGGACCCACCAGGAGGAAGGAATTTTACTGAGGGGAGGATCCCATAAACACTCCAAGTGCCCCATTCATACACAGAACTCACCGTCTGTCACTCTTCTCCTCTATGAAAGCGGGCCAGGGACAATGTCACCATTTACCAACCCACTGTTCAATCTCCTCCATAAATACAGAGCATGGTATTGCAGACCAGCTTCTCCCCAGCAAAGTATGGTGTCTGTTCTCTGTAAAAGCCAAGGGCCCACCGTCCTCTGGTCTCCTGCAGTTACATCTGCCACCGAAGCCTAAGCATGACTGGTATAAGAAGCCAGAGCAAGTGGCACAGAAAACCTTTGTCCCAAGCAGAGTGGGAACCAGGGAGAGTGAGTGTCAGAGACAGTGGGTGGCAAGGAGGGGGGGAGGCAGGCAGGGTGGGTGTCAGGGAGGGTGGGAGGCAGGCAGGGTGGGAGGCAGGCAGGGTGGGAGGCAGGCAGGGAGAGTCCACACTGAGAAACCTTCCACAGGGCAGCTGTCCACTGCAAGTCTAGCACCTCAACCACCTACAGGTACCTCCAGCTCCATCAGTCAAACTGACCTTACCACCCGTACCTCACCCTCCCAGGGCCCCTATCCTGAGGAATGGGCCACCTCACTTCTTTCCAAGCTTCCTCCCCTGCCCTGGAGTATCTGATATTCCTGCTGGGTGACGCAGAAGCCGCTCACCGTGGCTCCAGCCTTCCCTCCACTGCCTTTAGGTTCCAGTCAGGCCCACACACTCCTGGAAGCAGAGGGGCTTCCTGCCGCAGGCCTGTGCACAGGAGCCATGCCTCCTCTCCTCCCGGCTCTCAGCACCAGCATCACCTGTTCTAGGAAGGCTTCCAAAACACATCCCCCAGCACCCTGTGCCCATCCCCTCCAGCGCAGCAGTGACCACATCCTGAATCTGCCTCTCTCCCAGATCAGATGTTAGCCGTAGGACAAGGACCACAGGACCGCATCTGTCTTCCCCCTCTCTCCAGCACCCAACACCATGCTCTGGAGTGAGCAGGCAGGTCATCAATATTCGTCAACAGAAATGAACTCTGCTGGTCTCTCCAAAGTTTGTTAGTCTCTGGCCAGCTCACACCTGCTGGCAACTTTTACTCCACATACGGAATTGAGGCCTCTCAGGAGGCTGATCTGAGGCACTGGTCTGAGGCACTGGTCCTCAAGTGGCTATGCACATCTCAATCACCCCAAGACTAGCCTGGAGTGCTGAGCCATACCCCCACAGGTTCCATCTCTGCAGCCCTGGGGTGGGGCCCGGGAATCTGCATCTCTAACAAGTTCCCAGGAGCTGCTGACACTGGGTCCCAGGAACTTACTTTGAGAACCCCAGCTCTGGAGGAAGAGAGGGAAGAGGAGCAGAAGTAGCCCAGGCCTGAGGCCAGAAAGGACGTCTCCAGGGAGACCCTTTCTTAAGAGCCTCCACCTGCAACCCCCTTCCCAAGAGTCTGGCTTTACCCTTAGGGAGAATTCTTCCACCTGGCCCTTCTTTTTCCATTATTCTTCAAGAAACAGAAAAAGGAAATCAAAAGTGAGTGAGCTTAAAGACCATGACCCACAGA